TTTTTCTTTAACACCTAAGGTTAATTTTTTTTTTTACAAAGTGCTTTAAACTTTTAATTTTAACTATAAATTAAAAAATTTAAATTAATAAATATTAATTTATCTAAGTTTTTTTAGTTTGTCTCTTGAAATAAAAGGTTGGAAGCAATTTATATAAAATATAACAACTACTTTTTTATGTACAAATTAAAAATTGAATAACTAGAAAGATGAATAACTCTACCAAGGTATACCACCAAAGCATGAGAGGATGAAGAATTATTTTTACATATCCTTACTTCACCTTTCCATTTTATAAAATATATATATATATGTATATATGTATATATATTAACTGTATCATTGTAATGACAAGTTGCCAAATTTGGGAAAACACTACTAAAATCCTTAGTTTCAGCAACATGGAAGCATGTTGCTGAAAGTGGTTCCCATGTTGCTGAAAGTGGTTCCCATGTTGCTGAAAGTCCTTCAGCAACATGGGTTTGCTTGCTAAAAGCTTTGTTGGAAAAGGCTTGGTGGGTAATACATTACCAACCAAAATCATGTTGCTAATATATCAGCAACATAAGCTATGTTGCTAATATATCAGCAACATAAGCTATGTTGCTGAAAAAAAAGTATCAGCAACATAACTTATGTTGTTGAAAATTTTCACCGGAATTCGGTGACCGATGGAGGAGAAATTTCTCACCCCCTTCAACAACATAGGCCACATTGCTAAAGATGGAGTTTCAGCAATATGGCTCATGTTGCTAAAAATTAGTGGTAAACCGGTGAAAAAAAATGGAAATCCGGTGAAAAAAAATGGAAATCCGGCATTAGAATTCGGCCTCATTTTCAGCAAAAATGGAAATCCGGCATTAGAATTCGGCCTCATTTTCAGTAACACAAGTCACTTGTTGCTGATAGTTTTTTGAATTTTCAGCAACATGATTTTTGTTGTTGATAATCTAATGAATAGTTAACCCATGTACTTTCAGCAACAAGACTCTTGTTGCTGATAATCTAATGAATAGTTGGCATCCTTTCTTTTAGCAAGATGTTTCACGTTGGTGATGCTCAAATGCCAAATTTAAGAATTATTTCATTGACAATCAGTATAGTGCTATGTTATTTTTTAAAAAAAATTATCAATTTTCTATATTAATATTATGAATACACATTTTTCAATTTCATTAATATTTACAAATAATTTAAATAAATTATTTTTGTACTATCATTAAAAAATTTAATAATTATCTATTTTGTAATTATAATCACTAAATAATGACTAAATTTTATTAAATATAAAAAAATATACAAAAAATTTATAATTGAATGATAAATATTTATTTTGACTGCTTATATCTAAACTTTTAAGTAAATACATTTCAAAAATACATCTCAATGGAATTAATGCTGATTTATGGAGCATCCGAAACTTGAATTTATTTACTTTAATAATGAGATTTACCTACAAAACAAACAAAAAACCAAAATTAGTTAGTATTTTATATATAGAGTCATTTATAATTTTATTAATTTTCAAATAAATTAAAACATATTTTAT